AATAAACTGAAAACCGAAAAACGAAAAAAATCCGCAAATTTTAATTGGATTGGGTCGGTTTTCGGATTGGTTGATGAAAATCTATCCAATCCAAACCGATACAATATATCAATTCCCTTCTACCTACTTGGGTCTTTCTCCAATCATAGCCCAAAAATTTTCTAAACCCAAGACCCATTAACCCATCAATTAAACCCAAGAAAAAGCCTAGTCACATCTCATCAACAAAATTTTATCTCTGTAGAGCTTCATATTTCATTGCCCCACAAAAAAACTATATATTATTGTTTACTAATGCTTTGGTATTTAAAAAAAAAATTACAAAGTCATTATATGCAAAAGATGTTATTTGCACAATAATCATGAAACAAATTTTAGGATTTTCAGAAAACCGAAAACCGATCCAATCCGAACGGAAAAAAATTGGATTGGATCGGATCGGATTTGAAAAAAATCCAAACCGAATGGATGATCACATGATCAAACCGAAGGGATTGGATCAAATGATTTTTACTTTTAAAACCAATCCAATCCAGACCGCGAACTCCCTTAAATTTAATACTGGATTTATTTTTCAAATACACTTAAATGAAAGCTGTTGTGTGAGATATGTAATGGCTGTGTTGTGTTACTTGAAAGAACTTTTATTAAAAAATTGGGGACTATATAATACAAAAAAATAAAAATAAATAAAATTGTGCTTTCTTTGATTTGTTAAATGACCAATGTCTTTATATAAATCTCTATAAATTAGAGTTTTTATCATGTTTTCAATTTCTAATTATCTCCTCTATACTTTATCGGTCAATATTTGTAATGCTTGTTGGACTGGAACTAAGGGATTTTATAATTATCTTGGTTTATAATAAAGCTGCGAGCAATCAATTTTTTTTTTTCATTGCTTTAAATTAGCTTGTGCCTCTAGGGATGTTCACGGAACCAAGTTTGGGAATTTCTGAAACAAAGTTGAATATGTTAGATTCATATCCTATACCAAGTTGATTGAGAGCTCTTTTGTGTTTTCTTTTGCAATCAGTTCTCTGAATTATTGATGCAAATATTCCAGAAATTAAGGCTTGAAGTTGAATTGAATCTCATTGTCTTAATTTTATGTAGTTTTCAACTAATAGTCATTGTGTTTACCTTTTCTTTAGTACAATGTACTTATTTGTTTTCTACATGGTTATAATGGATGAAGAATGCACATTTTATTATCTTCTTGCATGGATGATGTATCTCCACATTTTACAAAAAGGGTCCTAAATATTAAAATTGAATAAACCTATTGCTAAATTGAGCCATATGAATTGAACTAAGATATGCATCATATTTTTGAAACCCTTCACCGCATTATTAAATATCATTAATTGGATAAATTAAGTATATGATTAATGCTTAGTTGATTATAATTAAATTTTATTTTTTATTCATAATTAAATGATTAAATAAATGTTAAAATAATATAAAATATCAAAATCTTGTCAAATGCATTTTTAGTGCAAACAAGCACAACACAAATGGTATCATATATAGTAAATTTTGTATTATTTTGTCCAATACACATATCAAGTAATATACAAGTACAATACAAAATTGTTTGTATTGTCCATCAACTACTAAACAGCATACAAAATAGCTGTTCTATGTTGTTTTCCTTGTCCTGTATCTCAGTGTATATCATTTAACATTAATCAATGAATTCATTTTTAAAGACATAAAATAAAATAAAAATTCATTTTTTTATTCAACATACTAAAAGAAATTGGAATTGTATCAGCACCAACCTTTAGTTCGTAAGATTGAAGTAATATGTTAAAAGTTTAATTTCTTACTAAGCATACAGCGCAATATATAAAAAGATATCTAACATAACATAGATGAAAAGAATAAGTAATTGTCAGTTTTTTTGAAAAAGTAAGTAATCTAGCTAAGGTTATTACCCTGAGATAATGTTTGTGAGTTCAATTTTATATATACAAGGAGTGACAGAAAACCTAATTTTATTAAATACAAGTTATAAAGTACTTACCTTTAAATTAATTGGAAAAATTATTAATAACTTTACTAATATTTCATTTATCCTAATCCAATTACCAAAGCCAAAAAAATAGTTTATATTAAAGTTTATAATTTGTCCTTTGATTGATATTTTTATCTTTCTCATTGTTAGTTGAGAATACATGAACCAAGTACCAAGTATCTCTAGTTTTTGGGTTGGATTTAAGCGTTGAGATCGAGCCTCTTTATCTTTTTGATTGAGATTTTGGACTCTCATTTTTAAGACTGACTCGAACACACTGTTTTGAAAAAACAAAAAAATTACCATTTTTGTGTGTGGATAATATGTATATATTTCATACCAGTGTCAAATTAAAATGTTTGACATCAAATCTTAATAATTGATTTTTATCAGTTTAACAGTTATAATTTATTGAGAATTAATAATTAATTAATACGTATGAACTAATAAATTATAACTGTTAGATTGAGAAAATTAATATTTTATATAACAAATTAATTAGAAATAAATATCAATTATGAAAGTTGAAAATAAGTTAAAATAGATTATTTAAAAAAAAAATATATATTTTAACTTAGGTTCGCTTTTTTTACCGTCAATGTGGATAACTTATCTACATTGAGCTCAAAATGATATCGTTTTGAAACGAAAATAACGGTATATTTTTAATTATAATTTATTTTAGGATTATAATAATCTTTTTTATTTTAATTTTTTTCCCAAAATAATATTATTTTAAAAATTAACGTAAATAACTTATCTATGTTCATTTGGAAAAAGATTAGCGCCTTTAACTTATTTTATCTCATTTCGTTGTCGTGTCAAGGAGTAAGCATACGTATCTGAAACAGCAGCCTTATCTAATGATTCTTGTTACGTTTCCACAACATTTTTTAGTTTTAAAATATAAAATAAAAAGTCTGTTAAAATATATATTTTTATTATTTGAAAAAGGGGAGAGATTTTTTGATTGTGATGTAAGATTTTGAAATTTTATTTTTCATCCCAGCTTATTTTTATCCATCTAACTATTATTATTTATTTTAAATTAATAATTAATTAATATAATTCAATACATCGTGAAATAAACGATAAAACTTTTAAGTCTTACTCATCGATCAAAATCTACTTTAAAAAATAAAATAATGGAACTAAAATAATTGTACATACCATGATATCATTATTACTGACGGTTTGATGCTTTTGATATTATAGAAAATAAAAATTATTTTAATATATATATATGAGTTCGCTTTTTCTGTGATTACTGCAGATAAGTTATTTGCAATAAGTCCAATACGACATCGTTTTGGGACGAAAATCATGGTGTTTTTGTAATTTTAATTAAATTTAGAGTTATAATAATCTTTATATTTATAATTTTTTAAGATTTTAATATCAAAACGACGTCGTTTGGGAAATAAATACAGATAAGTTATCTGCATTAACTGCAGAAATATTTTTTCCTATATATATTTATATAAATTTGTAAGGTTCATATAAGTAGAATAATGAAAGAAAAATTCATATATTTTTATCTGTGTATAAGAAATAAATTTATCTTTTATAAAATAATAAATATTAATCTCATAAAATAAAGTATAAAAATGGAAAAGACGTGTAAGAATGAATTTAATCTTATCCAAAAAGCGTATATTCACGATCCACGACAATCCAATACTAAAGGGTTCCGTGACAACTCAACCAAGTAACTCAATTAAGTGACAATAGCATAATGATAATGGTCTTGTACATCATCTCTTTCGCTGGTCCCGAAACCAGAACATTCACTTTTGGTTAAGTTCATCGAACCTACTTTAAATATCGATTTAAATATTTTGATAAAAATAAGTCGGTTAAACTACTAAAATAAAATAAAAACTTTAAACTCAATTTAACTTTACTTCATTTGATTATTTTTAAAATTATTAGATTATTATTAGGTTTTTTTTCTTCTAAAATTATTTAAATAATATTTTAAAATAAATATTTATTTACTTTAAGTAATAGTTAATTTTATATTTTTACTGTAAATGAATATAAATTAATTAAACAAATTAATTAAAATAAATGATTTTAAACTCTAATTATATAAAAATATAAAAAAAGTATGTTAACGATTAACTGAATAGCACTCAACTCGTACAAGAACAACCTAAAATAACAATTTGGTACTATCAGTTCAAATTGACACTCTGCTTTTGGTATCATTAAAACTAAAAAGTATTATTAGGATTTGGATTTTTTTTTTTTTTTTTAACTACAGAGGTTGCACATTTCCATCTAGAAGTTTAAAGTTGCTTAACATATTTTTTTGAATTAACGGAGATAATTATATTATCTATTTATTTATGAAAAAATATTTCTTATTTTAAATGACATAAAATTATGTCATTTTATAAGTGAGATAGACTCAAAAAAAAAAATTATTTAAAATTAAATTTTTAAAAAAATCACTCACTTTCTTCCCATGATTTTTATTTCTTGTATTTATCTCTCTTAAAATAACATAATATATGTCATTTAAAATGAAAAACATCAAACCCTTTATTTAATCTTTCTATCTTTATTTTTTTTTATCATCATGAGATTGTATTTAAATTAATGGTTAAAAGAGAGAAACAAAAAGACATAATTAGTTGAAAAAAACAAGGAATAAAGAAGAAAAAATATATTATTTGATACAGTTAATTTAAATTTAATCTAATAATAATAAAAGTAGAAATATTAAATAGGTAAACAATCCCTTTTATTTGTAATAACATAGTTCAGATTTCACATAATTCAAATAAAACTGCAAATGATGGATTTCCATAATTTTGAAATTTCATGTTCACATATCCCATTTTGATATTACCCTGTCACGTAACAAAATTAAAACATTCTTTAATAAATTAACTATCATTATTAAAGTAATGATTTCCTATTTTCCGAAACTTTATCTTAAAAATTTTCAACTACAAAAATCTTCCAGAATTGTGAACTATCTATGAAAATCCTCCATAATTTTATTTTATTGCGATAGTTCACGATTCACATCATCTGGGAGTGCCAGCATTATTATTAAAAATCCTCAATCAACTTTTCCCATCACTGTCTGTGTCAGAGTGTGAGTAACTCTATAATAACATATTCTTATTCCCACTTCCTGATTCAAATAAATACAGTGCTCGTAAATCGTAATTTGTTCGTAATCGCACAATTTCTCGTTTTTTCGTTTGATCAATTTTCGATTGCAGTGTAATTAATGGGTTCCGATGAAAAAAACATGGAGTTTTTGAAGGAGATCGGTTTGGGTTCCAGCAACATTGGTTGTTACATCAATGGCGAATGGAAGGCCACAGGTTCATCTATCACTTCTGTCAATCCTTCTAACAATCAGGTTCGTCTTTTTTTTTTTTTATTATTATTATTTATTTATTTTTGCCTTACCTGAGTGATGAAAGTTGAACGAATTTGATCTTGATTGCATGATTGTTATCATGGTTTCTGGGTTTTTTTTTTGGCTTTTATTGTCATGCATATAATTATTGTTGATTTGAAATTAGACTATTGCTAAAGTGACCGAAGCAACTATGGAAGATTATGAGGAGGGATTGCAAGCTTGTTCTGTAGCAGCTAAGATGTGGATGACCGTGAGTATTTTTCTTTTTAATTATCTTTGCTTTTTATACTTTTTTTTTTAGTGAGTTTTATAGTTGTGTTTTGGTTACATGGTAGAGTTGGGAGAGCCAGTACTGCATTTATGTACTATTGGAAACTAAAATAAGGATGTGTCTTTATAATGTTGTTGCAGATTCCGGCACCTAAGAGAGGTGAGATTGTGAGACAGATTGGCGAAGCATTAAGGGCCAAATTGGATCCTTTGGGTAGGCTGGTTTCTCTTGAGATGGGAAAAATTCTTCCAGAAGGAATTGGGGAGGTTCAGGTATGATATGATATGACTATTCTCTTTATTCTGCAATTTTTTCTAACATGTTGTCAGGTTTGACAAGGTAGAAGTCAGAGTTTAGATTGCGTATAAAACTTCTTGGTGTCAGCTAAATTAAGATAATTAGTGGTGAGCTTTAACTGTTTCTAATGAGAGTAATGTAATGTACTCAGGGGCACCCAAATTTATGTCGTTCTGATGAAACTTTATGCCCTGTAGCTGATTATCCGGTGATTTACATCGCAATGTTCTTAGAAATGTGAAGGGATTTGATGATTTGTCAAATTATTTTTTCTTTTATAATTTTTCATGTGGGCCTTCCTGAGCAGCCGCACATATCAAACTGCATTTACTTTTTTTTTTATTCCCCCTCGATGCCGCTTATATCGTCACTATATACTAAGGCTTTGATCACTTAATTCAAAGTTTGTTTTTTCTCAGAAGACAATTATGTCCAAAGTAAGATGGTTCTATTCAGTTTCTGTGTAAATTGCTTATATTTTAGATTTGTTCAAATACTCGCTGCATCTTCTTAGCCTATGCCCTGTATTTGGTTCTAGGAGGATGTTCACTTTTCAAAGTTGCCTCGTTCTCTTTTTAGGGGCATTCCATAAATGTTTGGTGTGTATATAGGCTACTGCACCCTGAAAGCAATTTAGTGCTTTTGCTAATTATGCGCCTAACTAATTTAATCATATACACTATGTAAAAGAGAAAATTATTATGTGAAAGATTTAATAGTTGCACACAACATTTGTACTCATTCATCCTGTCTATTACAGGAAATAATCGATATGTGTGATTATGCTGTTGGGCTAAGCCGACAATTGAATGGGTCAATTATACCATCCGAACGTAAGATGGGTTATATTAGTTGTTCATCTTTTCTTTATTATCCTTCTGGTGACATAGTGATTTAAAATAATTTGTAGTTAGGGATAGGCTCTTTTTATACTAATATCTCTTCAATGTGTATTGAGATTTTGTTTTCTTTTACTTGTTTCCTTACAGGTCCAGATCATGCGATGTTTGAGGTGCAAATGTGCAATATTTAAACTAAGATTATTCACTGACTTCTATACTATTTTATAGTAGGAGGTATAATCATTAACTGCAATGCATGCTTTTACACAACAGGTATGGAACCCACTAGGAATAGTCGGTGTAATCACTGCTTTCAACTTTCCATGCGCTGTTCTCGGTATGCTTTTTTCTTATCCTGTCTCAACACACACAGTAATAAATTCCTTTGGATCTTAGATATCAATTCAGCATTACATACGATCAGTTGGAGAATGTTAATGGATTTATTCACTGTCATCTGGTCATATAATTTTAGGCATGTTTCAAAACATCACCCGAAAGTCTGGTACATTTTTCTAGGAGTCATGTTGATTTGTAATCAACTTGATTGTGATTATCTTTCTGATAAAATTTTACATTATCCTCAATTCATTAAGCTTGTATATTATCCAATGCTTTACCACGTTTGGCTCACTTCAATAATATCTCTCTATATTTTCAATACATTCCCATCTGGTGATATATTTTAGCTTATTGTTACTTGTTAAGTGCTCTTCATATAATACAAAAATAATTTAGAACAAGGATAGCAACTTTGAATCTTTGGCAATCAAACATACTACTGGTATCATAATAATCACATGCTGACATATATGTGAACATAATTTTCTCGAAGTATTTTCCATCCAGTTTGACTGCATTCTGCATCATATGATCTACTTTCTATACCCTAAAATTTTTCTGATGCTTTTATTGTAATCAAAACTTGTTCATTTCCGTTGTGCCTCAGGATGGAATGCGTGCATTGCATTAGTCTGTGGTAACTGTGTTGTGTGGTAAGTTTACGTCTCTCTCTAGATATTATACGAGATTAATCAACTGGCCATATTTGAGTGAGATATGATTTTTTTGTTAATATTTAATGGCCTTTACTATTTGTTTTCTTTATTTTCATATGTGATTAGCATTGATTGTTGAGGCATTTCATTTCCAAAATTGGTTGGACCAATGCTATATGCAGACATCATATCAATTTTCTTGGTCCTTTTTTTTTGTGTGCACTATTTTCTTTGATTTCAATGGCAGTTAAACTCTCAACTTTGTATAACCAATACTTCAGTTCTTGATACATCAGTGTTTAGTGTATGTGTTTTGTCAGAACCAATTACTTTGATTGTTAATCAAACTGAGAGATTGTGGCCTACCCTTTGACTCTCGGGTTTTCCTGCAACTCACATCTTGTTAATGCAATCCACCTCTAAGGTGGATCTCTAACCCAATTTATGTGGACCTCTAAGTTGTTGCTATATATTTCTCTTTGTTTAATGCGGCATCTGGAGGTGGGTTTGATTTATGCAATCTGCCTCTTGCAAATGTAAGGTAAGGCTGCCTACTATAAGAAGGGTTTCTTATGTAGAGTGGAAGCTTCACCCCCCCCACCTCAAAAAAAAAAAAAAGTAAATAAATAATTAAATGAGTAAATTTTATATAATAACTAATATACACGGACAAGAAATAAGGTCTATCAGAAAGTCATTAAGTGATCAAATTATCTTCTTAGGTCCTGTTGATATCTTTATGACCTCTTTGCAAATCAGTTTGAATTTTTTATGTGATATATTGTCAGCTTCTTCCTCTGGAGTGTTTCAAATTTTTATGTTTTCAATATAAGTTTTTCTGATTACTACATGCATTAAAGGAAGGGCGCTCCAACAACTCCATTGGTAACTATTGCTGTGACAAAGCTAGTAGCTGAAGTTCTTGAGAGGAACAAATTACCTGGTGCAATATTCACCTCTTTCTGTGGAGGTGCTGAAATTGGTCAAGCAATAGCTAAAGACACACGCATTCCCCTGGTTTCATTTACTGGAAGTTCAAAGGTACTTTCATTGTGTACTGACTTGATCATTGGACAATGTTTTAAACTGGTGACATAATTTAATCAATTGAATGGAATGTGTGAATTTCCGCTTTGTGCTAAAAGATGTAGTTGTCGCTGGAATGATGCTCAGTTTAGTAGCCTATAGGAGTGGAATCAGTCTCATTACAGTAACTGTTTTTACAGATATCAGATATGTGATATCTAATAGCCTAAAACCTCATTTCTTTAGTGGGACTACCTCCATGTGTCATGCTCTGTGCAATCATATATAATGCTTTCGTCTCCCTATTAAAAAATGTTGTGCAGAGATACTGTGCAAATGTTTACTTATTTCAGTATGATTTGAAGATGACTGTTAGAATATTAGATATGATAATGATTAGATTTGATTAGATATGATTGGATTCTGTCTTATCCGTAAATAGTCTGACTGTATTCTGACTGTATTAGGATTAGGTTTGGATTAGGTTTGGGCCTTACACTTAAGCCCATTAGGGTCTCTATATATTGTAACTCCGTGACACAGATCAATACACAACGTATTCTTTTACATTTAACTTGGTACCAGAGCTATTTCGTTCTGGGAACCCTCGCTTCCGCTTAGAAATCTTGTTCTTCGCTTTAAAACCTAAGCCCACTGCTTAGGAGTCATCTTTTCTTTGCCGTGCGTCCTTCCGGTAAGACATCAAGGGCTGTAAGTCCTCTCCAGGCATCTTCTGCACGTGTCCACATCCCCAAACAGTCACCGGAGTACCATCAGCCACCGTTAGCCACCGTCAGCCACTGTTCAGGCTGCCGGAGTACTTTTCCAGCGAGTTTTCAGTCTGGAACGAACGCGAACAGAACCCTCTCCTCCCGGCGACCTGCTCTGTGGAAGTCCGGCCACCATCGGAGTTGTCACGCGCTCTCACGCGCCTCCAGTCTTCTCTGCGCGTGGGCTTCACGCGCCACCTTCTGCCGGCGCGTGAGCACTATTCCGGCGGCTTTTTCCGGCCGGTCTTGGACAGAGAAGCTCGTCTTCTCCTCCTCTTTCTGGATCTGTGGTTGGTTCTTTGTGGGTCTGACTTTTTGTGCGCACCTCTTCTTGCTTGGTGATCAGGTTCGTTTCTCTTTATTCGGTTTGTATCTTTGTGATTTGATACTATGGCAGCAAACCCTCCAATTCATTCGGAGGTCAAGTCTCCATCTCCTCCTTTGAGAAATTCTCCCAATATCATCTCTACCAATATTGGGTCCATTACCTCTTCAAAATTGAAGGGATCTGTTAATTACAAGAACTGGGCCACCTCTGTTCGAGTTTGGTTCTTTGGACAAGGATATGGGAACCATCTCACAACTAAGTCTACTGATGTCCCTAAGGAGGACAAGTCTGATTGGGAAAAGATTGACAACCAGCTTCTGAGTGTCCTCTGGCAATCCATTGATCCGATTGTCTTGGATATCTTTTATTCATTTCAAACTTGCATTGAAGTGTGGGAGGAAGCAAAAAACCTCTACACTAATGATGTTCAGCAGCTCTATTTCATTATCTCTCAGTTTATGGAATTGAGCAAATCATCCGACATTCAGACGGAGACATATATTGGCAAGAGTCGCTCTTTGATGCAGGCATATTTGGATATGCTGCCTTACCCTACTGATGCTACTGCATATCGGAAACAGGTGGAACGTCTCTTTATGGTTGCCACACTTTCTGGCCTTCCCGAAGAATATGATAATGTTCGTGATACTATCTTGACTAGTGGGGAGCCTGATCTATCCATGACGTATCAGCGTCTTCTGAATTTGAATAAGAAATCTGCTCCTGCATCGTCTTCTGCTGTTGATTCTACTGCTCTAGTTTCCCGTACTGATTTTCGCGGGCATATTGGAGGTGGACGTGGTCGTGGTAGAGGCCCAGGAGGCCGGGGCCCAGGAGGACGTAGCCCAGGAGGTCGTGGCCCAGGAGGTCCAGTCGGACGTGGTCAGCGACCTCGTTGTCATTACTGTCAGCAACTTGGTCATTATGAGGAACGCTGCTACACCAAGTATCCTCACATGCGACCTTCTTTTGCTGCTAATGTAGCTCAATCGGATACTGCTTCAAATGGTTCAGTCTCTCTCTCCTCTGAAGAATATGCAGCATTCCAGGCCCTTCTCAGGAAGTCCTCTCCTCAATCTCAGGCCTCTGCTTCAGAAACTGGTAATCCTGTTGCTTGTGTTTCTCATTCTGCATCACTTGGTCCTTGGATATTTGACTCAGGTGCTACTGATCACCTCTGTGGTAATAAGGAACTCTTTTCTTCCCTTACATATTCTAATAATTTACCCTCTTTTACTCTTGCTGATGGAACTAAGGCCCCCGTTCATGGGATTGGACAAATCTGTCCAACCTCCTCATTGACCTTGACATCTGTCTATTACATTCCTCACATCCCTTATAATTTAATATCGGTTAGTAAATTGATCAATTCTCTTAATTGTATTGTCACATTCTCAAACCATTCTGTTTCTGTGCAGGACCCGGGTACGGGGAAGATGATTGGAGTGGGCTGTGAGTCACGGGGTCTGTTCTACCTTGATGTGCCGAGTCCTTCAGTTGCTTGTTCTCTCACAGAATCTCCACAGCTCATCCACAGTCGTCTCGGGCATCCTAGTCTTGCGAAATTGCAGAAGATGGTTCCTCTTTTATCCGGTCTTCAAACTTTAGATTGTCAGTCATGTCAGCAAGGAAAGCACATACGCTCCTCCTTTGCTAATCGAGTCAATAAACGAGCTGATGCTCCTTTTTCAATTATTCATTCAGATGTTTGGGGTCCTAGTCGTAGTGTGTCTATTTTAGGTTTTCGGTATTTTGTCACCTTTATTGATGATTTCTCCCGTTGTACTTGGATTTATTTAATGAAAAACCGTTCTGAGTTGTTTTCTATTTATCAAAAGTTTTCTGCTGAAATTCATACTCAATTTGGTGCTTCTATTCGTATTTTACGTAGTGATAATGCTAAGGAGTATGTTTCTGTTGACTTTTCTCACTTCTTAGCCACACAGGGTACTTTACACCAAACCACTTGTCCTCACACTCCACAACAAAATGGAGTAGCTGAACGTAAGAATAGACATCTAATTGAGATTGCCAGGACTCTTCTTATTCACATGCATGTTCCTCTTCACTTTTGGGCTGATGCAGTCCTTGCTTCTTGCTTTCTCATCAACCGCATGCCTTCATCTGTGCTTAATAATGATATTTCTCATAACTTATTGTTTCCAGATGTTTCTCTCTTTCCTCTATCCCCACATGTTTTTGGTTGTACCTGTTTTGTTCATGATCTCACTCCTGGTAAGGATAAGTGAACATCCAAAGCCTTTAAATGCATTTTTCTTGGTTACTCTCGTCTTCAAAAGGGTTATCGTTGTTACTCTCCTGACTTCAAGCGTTACTTAGTTTCTGCGGATGTCACCTTTTTTGATCAACAACCCTTTAATTCTATCCCATCTCCATTGTCACAGGTTGATCATGTTCTTCCTGTTCCTTTTCTTGATTTGTCTTTGCCAGATGCAGGTGCTTCTACTCCAGATAAGCAATCACCTATTGCTCCAGTACCTAAGGACCGTCCACTTCTCACTTATCAGCGTCGTAAGACAGTACCTCCAGTCGACTCGACCCCTGCTGACTCATTGCCCTCTGCAGTTGATTCTTCCCCTCCGGATCCTTCACCAGAGGCTCTTCCCATTGCTCAAAGAAAAGGTACACGTACTACTTGTAACCCTTATTCTCTTTATACCTTCTTGAGCTATGATCGCCTTTCTCCTCCTCATTTCACCTTTGTTTCTAGTCTTTCTTCTGTTCCTATTCCTAAGACCACAGGTGAAGCACTTTCCCATCCAGGATGGCGCCAAGCGATGCTTGATGAGATGACCGCACTTCATACCAATGGCACTTGGGACCTTGTTTCTGCTCCTCCAGAGAAGTCTATAGTTGGTTGTCGCTGGGTGTTTACTGTGAAAGTTGAACCTGATGGCCATGTTGATCGTCTCAAGGCACGCCTAGTTGCCAAGGGTTTTACTCAAATCTTTGGCCTTGACTATAGCGATACATTCTCTCCAGTCGCTAAGATGGCTTCCGTCCGCCTATTTCTTGCCCTTGCTGCTATTCGTCACTGGCCACTCCTTCAACTTGACATCAAAAATGCCTTTCTTCATGGTGATTTACAAGAAGAAGTTTACATGGAGCAACCACCTGGTTTTGTTGCTCAGGGGGAGTCTGGGAAGGTATGTCGTCTTTGAAAATCCTTATATGGTCTCAAGCAGTCTCCTCGAGCATGGTTCAGTCGCTTCAGTTCTGCTGTACAGGCGTTTGGCCTAATTCGCAGTAAAGTTGACCATTCTGTATTCTATAGGATTACATCTCCTAACAAGTGCATCTATTTGTTAGTCTATGTTGATGACATCATCCTCACCGGAAGTGATCAAGACGGAATCCATCAGTTAAAACAACATTTATTCAGTGCATTTCAAACAAAGGACCTTGGGAAGCTGCGTTACTTCTTGGGAATTGAGGTGGCGCAATCTAGACAGGGCATTTCTATCTGTCAAAGGAAGTATGCCTTGGATATCCTAGAGGAGACTGGTATGTTGGGGTGTAAACCAGTTGATACACCCATGGATCCTAATGTTAAGTTATTGCCCAGACAGGGGGAGCCATTATCTGATCCTGGACGTTATCGAAGGCTGATTGGGAAGCTCAATTATCTTACTGTGACTAGGCCAGATATTTCTTTCGCTGTCAGTACGGCCAGTCAGTTCCTTGATTCCCCTTGTGATTCACATTGGGATGCTGCTATGAGGATCCTCCGATACATCAAAGGAGCACCAGGAAAAGGTTTGTTGTATTCGGATCAGGGAAATACAGAAATTTGTGGTTACTCAGATGCCGATTGGGCAGGATCACCCTCGGACAGACGCTCTACTTCTGGTTATTGTGTCTTCTTCGGAGGAAACTTAATCTCATGGAAAATCAAGAAACAACCTGTTGTTTCCCGATCTAGTGCAGAAGCTGAGTATCGTGCAATGGCAAATACTACCTGTGAGTTGATCTGGTTAAAGCAGTTGATTCAGGAGCTTCATCTTTGTGAACAGAAACAACCCATGACACTCATATGTGATAATCAAGCTGCGCTACATATATCCTCTAATCCTGTTTTTCATGAGAGGACCAAACATATAGAGATTGATTGTCACTTCATTCGGGAAAAGATTCAGTCAGGAGAAATCAAGACAGCTTTTGTCAACTCGTCTAATCAACTAGCAGATGTTTTCACTAAAGCTCTTAGAGGTCCTCGGGTTGAATACATTTGTAACAAGCTTGGTGCTCATAATATATACGCACCAGCTTGAGGGGGAGTGTTAGAATATTAGATATGATATGATTAGATTTGATTAGATATGATTGGATTCTGTCTTATCCGTAAATAGTCTGACTGTATTCTGACTGTATTAGGATTAGGTTTGGGCCTTACACTTAAGCCCATTAGGGTCTCTATATATTGTAACTCCGTGACACAGATCAATACACAACGTATTCTTTTACATTTAACTATGACAATCTATGCTGTTGACTTGATAATGACGTGTTCCCTATTATAGGTGGGCTTGATGGTCCAGCAAACAGTGAATGAGAGATTTGGCAAATGCTTGCTTGAGTTAAGTGGTAACAATGCAATAATAGTCATGGAGGATGCAGACATCAAACTGGCTGTACGCTCTATTTTGTTTGCGGCTGTGGGTACTGCTGGTCAGCGGTGCACATCTTGCCGTAGACTGGTATTAGAACCAATTTAAAAAATTGAATTTCACAATTGTAATGTAGTTATATTGATTCTTTGAAGGTATATTTATTTGTTAATTTGGCTGCCTTTTACTGCAGTTTCTGCATGAGAGTATTTACTCAAATGTACTAGATCAACTTACTGCAGTCTACAAACAAGTCAAAATTGGGAATCCCCTGGAGAAAGGGACTCTAGTTGGGCCCTTGCATACTCGATCTTCAGTGGAAAACTTTCAGAAGGGTATTTCGGTCATAAAATCTCAGGCATGTTATCTTATCTGTAATTTTGCTCAGTTGTATATGGCTATATGCAAACTTTTGCTCAAATATGATGGATGCTTGTACTTTTTGTGTGGAGATGGTTTACTAGATACTCTGATTATCAGGGAGGGAAGATCCTAACAGGGGGCTCTGTAATAGAGTCAGAAGGAAACTTTGTACAACCAACAATTGTTGAGATTTCTCCCGATGCTCGTGTAGTTAAAGAAGAATTGTTTGGTCCAGTTTTATATGTTATGAAATTTCAGGTAGCGTATTATCTATATATTCTTTTGTTGGACTTATTTTCTTTTGGAGTTTAGTTTCTGCTTGAACTTCATGATTTTTCTACTTAGACTCTGGAAGAAGCAATTGCCTTGAACAATTCTGTTCCTCAAGGATTGAGTAGTTCAATATTTACCCAAAAACTTGAAGCTATCTTCAGATGGATTGGGTAAGTACTTATTTTATTTATTTATTTATTTTTTGTCCTATCCTCTCTTAAAGGATGTTTGTGGTGGTTTATAGTTGAATAAATAGTATATTTTGCATGTTCATGGGTGTGAATACAGGCCACGAGGTAGTGATTGTGGTATAGTGAATGTGAACATACCAACAAATGGAGCTGAAATTGGTGGTGCCTTTGGTGGAGAAAAGGCAACTGGTGGTGGTCGTGAAGCAGGAAGTGACTCATGGAAGCAGTACATGCGGCGTTCTACATGGTAAGTCTTAGTTGAATTTAAGATGTTGCATTGGGCCTGTGTTAAATGCTCTGTTAATTATCTTTTTCTGTGCATGTTCATAATGACATTATAATTACTGTCCTTGGCAGCACCATCAATTATGGAGGTGAACTACCGTTAGCTCAGGGAATAAACTTTGGCTAGCAAGCCATCCTTGCACACGAGGATGCTCAAATGCAATTTTCAGCCAGAATTTAAGATGAAGCTTGGTTGACGGGGCCTCAAAGTGTTGTTTTAACAATATATGCTGTGAGGGCGGTACCTTGACAGCTTCAATGTGCAAGATATTAAACAAATGTCCAATAAATTAGGTGCAAAAACTCTTATATCCCCATCGAAAATGTTTTAATATTTTTATTCAATGTGGTTCTCTGTGATTCTGTTATATGTTGTAGGTTTGGCAAATCCATCTTAGAAGGATTTCATGCTAAGAGCATGTTTGACACTTTTTTTTAAGCGTTAAAAAAAAATTCAAAAAATTAAGTTAAAATCTGTTTGATAATTGTATAAAGTTATCTTTAGGGATACATTATTCCTACTACTGCTGAATCGAACAAAATAGCGATTTTGATAAAAATCCTTTTTTAGAGAGAGATTAAATAATTTGTTATACCCTGAATTATTAGGATAAATGATAAAATTTATAAATAAAATTTTAGAATAAGGATATAATTAAAAATAAATATAAAAATTTCAAAATTGATATATATATGTTAAAAAAAACCCCTCTTATGATAATTAGCTTTTAGCTCTTTTTTCTTTATTATAATTTTTTTATAAAATTATATTTAATTAAATTTTTGCTTATAAGGAGAAGAACTTATAAAAAGTTTTGCTTTCTTTACCAAAAAAAAATAAAAATAAAAAGTTTTGCTTATAAGGAGAAGCTTCTACTTATCAGTCGTTTGGGCCATAATGTGCTGTTGCAGCTGTTCTAACTTCTAAGGCATATAATGATGGCCTTACTGTAAAGCTTTAAGTAAAGATCTAGTTTAAAAAAGAGTACTGAAAAGCCAAACTCTTCATCAAACTATTTAGATTCTATTATATCTAGCCTCACTGGTACTGAAGTAGCAGGCCCTTACTCTTTAGTCCTTAGTTGTGCTTTATATCATGCATGCACCTGTTGGAAGTAGAGCCGGCAAAATGGGTTCGGCTTAGCGGGTTAACTCGTCCTACCAATTAAATGGAATGGGGGGGACTGAGTTTTTTAACTCATCTTAAAAGCATGGCAATGCGGGGCGGATTAGTTTTTTGACGGGTTGATGGCTGGCATAAGCGGATCAGTATAAAATAAGCTCGGGTTGGCGGGTTAACCCGCCCAGCCTGCCAAACGGGGCAGGACGAGCCGAGTTTTTCAACCCACTTTTAAAAGTGGGACGAAGCGGGGTGACTCGTTTTTTAGCAAGTTGACGGCGGGATAGGGTGAGGCGGACCGCCATCTTTGCCATCTCTAGTTGGAAGCATGTGGAGGTAGAAAAAGAAAAGAAAAGAAACTAATCGGGGATACTGGAGGAAGAAGCTGGTGTAATCATGCTGATGTTGCAACCTAAACAATTTATAGGTTTAGACCTTATTCATTAAGATAAGTCATAAGAGAAACCCCACGATTCATTACTTGCTAATGTTTTGAAAAAGGCTCAACCTTATTGGATTAAATTAGTCAATTTTCTTTGAAGGCAGAACTGCACTAGAAATGGAATGCAGATTGATTTCATAAGCACGAAACGTTAGGTAAAAAACTTTTTATACCAAGCCTATAATTGGAAGTTATTCCAATGACCCATGAAATGATGGATTCCATAAAGTTTCAAGATTGAGAAAAAGGGGCCAGACTGCGGGGCATTAGCAGTGAAGGATGTGTTTAACATACCAAATTTGTTATTCAAAACTAATATTCACATACGGAAAAAGATACCCTTTGTTTTACCCAGTCTGTTTGAAGGTTGCTACTTGCAATTCCATGCAATTTTTTGTAAAGGTTATGGCTTATGCAGCGTAATACCAATCTGCAGTCTGTTCCGAGAAAAAGAAAAATATTTTGTATTGATTTTTTCAAATTCTGGCTTTGAACCTAAGGAAATTCATTTCAATACTCATTTACTCTTTCACACTAACTTAATGTATTTAAAGATCAGGAGTTTTAATTTTATGTGCTAATTTCATGGTTCTGAATCCAAGTAATCATAATATGAAAAACAACTCTTTAACCCCCTGTTCAGTGCCTCTCTCGCCTTTTGCTTTACTGGCACTATACTTTTTTTTAATTATAAATTGATTAATAAATTACATATTAAATAACAAAAGTTAATTTTTATTATTCAGATTGACATAAACTCTGTAATCTCTTTTTTATAAAATGTAATATGATGCGTAATTTTCGATGGAAGTACTTAAATGACCCGTCCAATTAATTTACTTATAAAATTTTATTGGGTTTAACATTTTTGTTTTTAGTGTAGAATTTGTTTTTTGTTACACTCATATAGAAATAAGTAGATCACATTATATTCTACTAATACTTTCTCACTCTTCTTACTATAATAAGACTCATTTATGAATACGACAAAAAAAACTTTGCAATAAAAGCAAAAACTTTTTCAGAGTTAATCCCCACACTGTCTTACTATCTTGCAACCACACCGACACCGACACGAGGTACAAGATACGATTTGACACGACACTTTGATATGTTAATTTTATAAAATATTAAATTTTGATACGTTAGAATACAATTTGATATTATATAATATTTATAATTTATGTAGTATATGTTATATTTAATACTCAATAATTTAACAAAAAATAAAGTTAAATTTATGATACCCATCAATTTTTGCAAAGAAACATAAAATATCTCAAATGTTTATATTAAACTCAATAAAATGGTAATCATAATCTAAAGAATCTAAATAGTTGGAACTCAAAATGTAATGCAACGTAAACTTTGAACTTTTTTTGAGTCTTTACAACAAGTATTGGAGTGTCGGAAAGTGTCGGAGTGTCGGTGAGTATCGAGAAATATCAGACACAACATGCTAGGATTTTTGAAGTGTCCGCACTTCATATGTCTTATGTAGTTTTCAAGAAATGCATTAAACTTTGCTGGGAAATTAACATTACTCCAAAACACACGTGATCAATGAGTCGTTAGCCATCTAATTTTTAAATGAATAACATGTAGTAAAATAGTATAAAATGCAAATTGTTTATCTATATGGCAGTCAGTAACACGTAAACAAAAATAAAATGATAATCTATATGTAGTTATCATTATAAAAAATAAAAAAAAATAAAAAAAACCTTTGCTGGTTGGAGATGTATAGAGTGAATGAGCTCCAAGTCTTCAACAAAAATGGGTATACAAAAATAAAAGGAATATAACCCGAATATATTCGGTGTCCAAACTCATGTCCCATTTTCTATTTTCTTTTTTTTCCTCCAAAAACTTTTTGTTTTTAAGAAAAATTTCTTAGCATTATTAATTAATATTTGGATGTCTACTTAAAAAAAAAAAGTCATTAAAAACCCAAAAACCTATTATTTATTGAAGTTAAAATTTCTAGCTTTAAAAAAAAATAGAAGTCAAAAATCAAATAATCTTTACAAAATCCAATTTTATCCCAATCCTAAGCAATCTCACCTCCTTTGCGCCACTACGAGCACCACCACCTCTACATTGCTGTTGTCACCGCTCTCACCATAACCTCAACCCCAATCAATTTCACCTCTTCTATTATCGTTGTTGCCGCCGCCACTACCATCACCAACGGCGGACCTGTATTGGTGCAACTGTGTGCAAGTGTACACACAAATTTTTGGGGAAAAAAGAGAGTATATTTTGGGTCCTTAACAAAAATTATAGGGTCTAATTTAATTTCCTAGGAGAAAAAAAAAGTCGACTTGTTGTCTCTCTGAATTCTAAAATAGACCCGATTAGTCAAAATTGTGGTCCTCTGAATTTCAAAGAAGACCTACATTAGTCCCTCAAAAAAACTAATATGTATCTATTTTGAAATTCAGAAGAATCACGAGTCGATTTTTTTTCCAACAAAATCCTTTCCCTTTTCAGCCTCCACTTCCACTTCCTTTTTGTTGGACTTTTTTTCTTTCTTTTCATACTGCTAATTGAATATATAAATTAATATAAATTGCTTAAATCCTCATCATTGAATACATCTATGGGAATTGAACATATGACTTAATATAAATTGTCAAAATTCTCACCACTAAATCAATCCTAAATGGCTTCTTCTTGTTGGCTTCTACGTGCGTTCTTTTATCTCTCTTGTTTTGAGGTTGTGAAAAAACAAAATTTTGTTTTCATTATTTCCTCCACCACATATATTAGATATGAAGATTAAGAATAAACACAAGACTATTTAATTGTTTAGATTGTATATATTTATTATTTATATGCATACATTTATGTATACATGCCTCTTCAATAATAAAATTAATCTGAATTTTATAGAATTTTTAATAATATCTTGAAAATAAAATTGATATGAAAATAAAATGATATGAAAATAAATTAAATAAAAACAAACAAAACATCTCTTTAAGCTTCCATTGATGTTAGTTTCTTAATTAATCTCGTGATAATTGTAAAGAATCAATTCCACCCAAAAACTTAAGCTATTGGGTGAGGCTACATTAATGGTTTTAAATATCTCAACACGCCCCCTCATACGAGAGCCCACTGAGCTTGAAGGATGGACAATGCACATGCCCACCTACCTGTGCGAACAAAGAAATTCCACTTGAAAGAAAGTGGGAGGCAGTGAGGATCGAACCCGGGACACGAGGCTCTGATACCACGTAAAGAACCAATTCAACCCAAAAGCTTAAGCTATTGGGTGAGACTACATTAATGGCTTTATATATCTCAAATATAATAATAACATAAACTTCGATGAATAATCATGTCACTTTACTGTATGGAATAGTCAATAGGATGCTCAATATGGTGTATTATTGGCTAACATATGAATAGATGCTGCCTATGAATTAAATGGCTCAACTCTGGGTTCCCGTTGTTTATTGTATTGGGTTTACTTTTCTACAATTCTACACCAATTGTCTAGTTACAGAGTTTTTCGCCCAAAATGAAGTATACCAACCAAATAGGAAGTCGAAAAAATAATAATGATGACAACTTTAGAGAGATTGGTTGCTATTATAGTTTTGACCGAGTAAGGCTACTTATAGGCTTTTTGACCTACCAAATGCAATTTTGGAAATATTCCACCGATTTAGTTTTGTGGTCGAACATTTTACTAGACTAGTACAAGAAGATGTGCTTTAGGTGTTTACTGGTCCAGTCATGTACATGAGATATGCACGTTTCATGTGATGACAAAAGTGAAACACGTCACCGTACAGGTGTGGATTTCAGTCCGTCCAATTTGATTGCATCAATTCTATATGATGATGTTAGTATCAGGTACGCATTTAAGACACGTAAGTACTAGGGGTG